TTCACAAAAGAGAGAGAGTATATAAAGAGAAATATGTCTTGACAGACTATCACTAGACTGTGAGAGTAATGTTAGTTTTATAACTAGACTACGAGAGTTTTTTTAACATTATTTTCAAGTTATGGTTTATATTTTTCGGGCAAATTTGTAAAATTTAAGTTTTTTCGTTATACAAAACTAAAATTTTAAAACCAAAGTGGCAATTGGCTCCATTCCCCACCTTAAGTCCGCCTCTATTTCTTAATATATATCATACTAGAATTCAGTATAAAATTTAAAAAAGTTTTACGTTGACTGTCAGTCAACTATAATTCCCTCCTAGATCGAAACTTAAAATCAACTAAAGAAACATGAGCAAAGTTATTCGATTCATATAGAAGAAGACAATTTAACAAAATTTTAACAATCATAAACCACTTATAGGACGAAGCTGCATTGTCAGGGTAAGGGTTCATCTCCTCACAATACAAAGAGGGTGGGCATTTTTGAGGTTTTTTTTAATGATGCGGGGATCCACCTCATGTGAGAAACCCTGTACAGACCTGTGAAATAGGGCCTTTACACTCGGATTTATCCACCACTTGTACCCTATTTTTTTATAACCTTTCTTGAAAGGCTTAAACGGTCATCCAGTCATCATTCATAGTACAAGCATACGAAACTAGGGTCAAATTAATAATGAAAATTTGAAAGTGAAACATGTGGGGTTTGTGTTGGGTGGACAAATCTACTGAGAATCCTACAAGGTTGGTGTGGCTTGCACTAAAAATGAAGGTACAGTACCCTAAAGTTTCAATTCCTTTCTGAAATTAGGAGACTCAATTTTTACAGTTTAAAGTTGAGGGACAATTTACAATTTACACGTAAAGTTTAGCGACGAATTAACCATAAATTTAACCCATAATTGTGGGGGGGAGTAGACACTAATGAAAATTGAAAGAAAAAAACATGTAAGATTTGTATTGGATTGACAAATTTACCAATCCTACAAGGTTGGTGTTGTCTTGCCCTAAAAATGAAGCTACAGTACCCTAAAGTTTCAATTCCTTGCTAAAGTTAGGTGACTCAATTTTTACAATTTAAAGTTGAGGGGCCTTTTACGAGCTACACGTAAAGTTTAGAGGTGACTTATCCATAAATGTTATCTTTACTAAGCCTTCTAGGTGGCAACTCATTGTAAGTTGTAAAGCTGTCTATCCCGATAAATGTAAACTACATCTATCAAAAATCGAAACTTAAATGTTATCTTTACTAAGCCTTCTAGGTGGCAACTCATTGTAAGTTGTAAAGCTGTCTATCCCGATAAATGTAAACTACATCTATCAAAAATCGAAACTTAAATGTTATCTTTACTAAGCCTTCTAGGTGGCAACTCATTGTAAGTTGTAAAGCTGTCTATCCCGATAAATGTAAACTACATCTATCAAAAATCGAAACTTAAATGTTATCTTTACTAAGCCTTCTAGGTGGCAGCTCATTGTAAGTTGTAAAGCTGTCTACATTCTTCATCTTGTGGTCCATTTGTACTGATTTATAATGAAAAGCTAGTTGTCCATATATGTTGGGATTAGGTTGGAGTATCATACTATCATTTTCATGTTGCATGGATCATGGATGGTTCATTCATCGATTGGATGTAACTAGTATTCGATGTCCAATATTGACCAAGGTATGAACATCGGACAAGATTACCTTGGTCGTGTTGGTAGGATCTTCTTGTCCATCATTTGATTTGAACAAAGTTTGTATTTATAATTTAACAAAACTAATAAGGTCGAACTGTTGGGTCTTCAAGTCCACTCAAACTAAGTGCATCACGTTTTTTTGGACTATCCTCATCTTACCTAACTCATCAAATATGTGAACTTTACTTATCTAATAAATAGCCGATCTGATTTATCAATTTTATATATCGTATTATCCCTTTTAAGTAGCAAGATTGTAACGAGCAAACATGTTTATTCGTGATAATTGAGGTGGTCATAAAGAAAATTTTATGGGCCCCTTTCAAAAATGATTTTTAACCTTGCAGTCTTGCACGAGTAAATATAATTAGGGTTAATCAAATTTGTCTTTGTTTCCCCCAACAAATCACCACAAATTAAAGCAAATGTGAACAAATCTTTAGGTTCATTTAGTTTAGTCATTACCCACGCAATAAATTACAAAAGACATTGCTCTTCTAGATAGTCAAATTCAAATCAATCCACTTAATTAGTGCTCTTGATTTCTCCATTAAAACAACGTTACAATAATCATTCAATAATTCAATAATCAATATTGACCAGAATAATGCTAGCTTTACTTTTTTCCCTAATTGAGAACAAAAAATAATTTTTTATTTAGAGTAACTTTAAAATCAAGTACTTTAATTTTTTTTCTCTTGCTTATTTAGTGGATGTTTGAGAGTTGTTTATAATTGGCTTACTTTATGAATAGAAGATAAAAATAACAGTGAATATGTAGGTAGTATTCATAAGTATCACAAAACGCGTGAACAAAAATAAATTAGAAAGATTGTAAAAAAATTTAAAACGTGGACTTAGTTTAAAAAAGGTTAAACCCTAACCTTAAGGGTCCCCCACCACCCCTACCCTGGAGCATCGTGAGGGAGGTAAATCGCAGGTTATGCCTCCAAGGGTATAGGGTGGAGGCTGTTTGTACACTTGCACTTACTCAAGAGTCAAATCCATATTTCAGGATTCGAACCCTTGACGCAGCAGCCTCAAGCAAAGTTGGATTTCTCCACCCTTCCCTTTTACCACTTGGAGATGTGCCATGGAGGACTAAAAAACGTGGACTTAGTTTGTTATTACATTAGATAGTCGATTCACAGTAACCGTCAAATCTTTCATATTTAGGAAGTGTTTATTAAATGTTGAAATTATAATTAGATAAAAAAATGAGTGATGGAATATATAGCTAGTATTGTAAGTTCTTTGAAATGTGTGGATGAAAAGTGAATTGAGCGTGTGTAAATAATTTATAAATATTAGCCAAATATATAAGGTATGAAAAATAGAAATATTCTACAAGAAAAGAAAATGAAAAATACACACACGCGGACACAAATTACATATAATAGTTTTCTAAAATGTGTAAAACATGATTAATTGTTAGTGTCAAATTTCAAGTTTTTCAAGTTATGACACGTTTTAATGTATCACAACTATTTGTCAATATTTTAAAATGCGCATCTTGAATCCTAGGTGAAGTGGCCAATAGTGAATCGAAGCTCATTTTAAAAGAGCCTATACATTATTTTTATGAATGAAAGTCTTTTAGCCCCTGTTTGACCCCTATTTTTGGGTAATAAAAATGAGAGAAATAGTATTTTTTTGAAAAATGAGAGTTTAAAAAAGAAAGAAAAATTTTCGATTTATGTGTAATATTATTTTATGAAAAATTGTGTGGTTAAAAATAGTAGAAAGAAAAAAAGAATGTAATTTAATGAGAGTCAAACGGGAGCTTAATTTATCCTCAAGCAATGTCGTCATTATGTAGCGTCAAAAATACTATGTAGGAGAGAATAATGTGAAGACATGCATGCACATAGATGAATGATCATATTGATGGGGCACACAATATATGGGCATGAGAAGCAAATCTTGAAAGAAAGTGGCCTCTCTTTGCACCACCACCTGCTCAAGATATCGTAAACGCACATGATTTCACACCAACAAAGAAAAGGCACCAATGCTGACATCACCTGAATCTCTTCGGAGGATTTTGGTGGGCCCCACTTCAACTTCCACTCCTCTTTTTTGCTTTCAAAATAGCTTTCCCAAACTATTGCTTCAATAACGAGTTGGCATTGGATTTTAAATATAGGCAATTTGATCCCCAATTTTTTCGTTATTTTTATAGTCAAAGCTTCTGCCTATTAACACTTGGGATTCTATATTATAAAATAAACACGTTAAAAAGGAGTAATCCAAATTCTTATATGTTGGTCAATGTATATTTATTTCTCAATATGACTTACAAGATGGTTTATCATTTGAGAATATTATTGTAAAATTTCGGGGGCTTGTTTGAGTCTTGCTCGGATCAAGCAATTTTGATTTTAACCATACTGAGATTTGAAATTCTATTTTAAGAGGGCAACATTATTAAGAAAAGCATTTCAAACTTATTTGTGTTGGTTAATTTTCGTCAATTAGTCGATGTGAAACTCATCCTTTCACACTTACCCATATCTTTTGTTGGTTTCGTCCCCTCTATGGTAGTGTGTATAATAAGAGGTGTGGGGGTAATATCATGTCTGATGTTTAAGTTAGTATTGACAATAGAATTGATTATATAATATAGAAATTTAAGAATATATTTTCTTTTACGTGTGTGGTACGGCTCAAGACTCTAGAGCTCATACGAAATAGTTAATAGAGATTCATTTGTAACAGCATCTTGTCTTGACGATATGCTAGGAACTTGTTTGAATTTGATTACATTATATGTTAATTTATATAATCTAGATTCTTTTACTAATGAAATGCTAAAAGGGTCTATAATCCTTTGTAACAATCATCTACAATATCAAAAATCATCTAAATCTTTGTTAATTTTTTTTTTTAGCTTTAGCATTTTGAATTCTATTTCACTATTTGGGTTCTTTGCATAAAAATTTGAAATTAGACACTTTTTGCATGGTAGTGATATGACAATTTTAGCCCTTGTTGGGTTCAACTATAAAATTGGATTAAAATTTAAATTAAAACAAACAATTAAATATAATAATATATTTTATGATATTCACAACTTTTCAATCATAAATTTCATAATTTCTTTTTTCAGAATTTACAAAAAATTTAATTTTTATCTAAACCAAACAACGGCTAAGATGTAAACAACTTTTGTCCGTAGGGACTGATTGTGTAACAACAGTGAAAGGGCTATGACCAATTTACTACTAAGACAATAAAGTAAGGACCAATGTGTAATTTTGTTTCATTTATATGTCACCCGAGCTCCAGAGAATCAATACCAATATCGAAGCCCATGTTCAGGATTTGTATTCTATTTCTGGCGCATTTGTTTATTTGTTTAATCGCCTTGAAAAATTGAATCCCGAAATGGAAAATTAGAGAAATCTTTCATTGAAATCCGACCAGATTTTGCTGGATTTTTGTGGGTCTGATTTCGATGCAAAGTTCTTCCACTCCTCTTAAAGGAAAAGGATCAAATCCAACTTTTCTTTCGTTTTCTTGCATCTTTTTCTGAATTATATGCATCGGTACAGTGGGAATGGCAGCTGAAGAGTCACGGTTTCATGTTTTAGCTGTTGATGATAGTCTAATTGACAGAAAGGTCATTGAGAGGCTACTCAAAACCTCTTCATATCAAGGTAAAAATACAGAAGAATTTGGATTGTGGTCATTTCATTTTTCAAGATCTTATTTTTTCTATTAGGATACAAAATGAAATTTAAATGAGTATACGTGGCTTGTTGATATGAATAATGTGAGAACAAAGCCCTTCAAAAGATTCCAAGTTCAAGTATCTTTATCACTTATTTATGAAAAATATGTACGTGTCAAATTTTGAAAAAAAAAAAAAAAAAAAAAAAAAAAAAAAAAAACAACAACAACGTAGAGCTGCAATTTTATTTGACTGAACCATTTTCCTAGGTTCTGTGCATTATTTATGGCTTTATACAGGATAATAAAAGATTATGGGGTTTCATTTTTGCAAGATTTTAATTTAAGCCTTGATTTTTAGTATTTATTGCTCTTACAGGTTGGTTTTGACTGATTCATTTGTTGGGCTTTGTGATATAATAATGGCAGTTACTACAGTAGATTCTGGTAGCAAAGCTCTGGAGTTTCTTGGTTTGCATGAAAATGACAGAATTGCCCATAATGAAACCTCTGTTTCTCCCAAAATTCATCAGGTAAATTTCCTTTTAAATTTTTAATTTTTTACACCCCCCACCCTAATCATACTTTCTTGGATTTTCTTGTTTGAAAATTCCAAAAAAAATAAAAATAAAATTCTATATATGCAGGAAGTGGAAGTAAATCTTGTTATTACAGACTACTGTATGCCTGGGATGTCTGGCTATGATTTGCTCAAGAAAATTAAGGTATATTTTCTTGTACGGATGAATTTCCTTTCATGGAAAATACGCCTTCGATAAAATCTTCTCAATTCAATATGTGCTACTTTCAGATTGATGATGTGGTCCTTTTCTTGCATTCATTTGAGATCAATAAAACCTTTTTCAATTTTTTTTATTTTTTTAAATCCCACCTAATATGAGTAATTAATCAGATAACTGAAAGCATTTAATTCCACATGCCTAGCTTACCCTAATTGGTTGTTTGATAAGTTGGAATCGGATAATAATACAGAAAGGATGACTTTATAAGGAAAAAGATGGAGTTACAGGAGCTAGGTTCACAGCCCCTGCCAGATGAGAGAGGAGGTTGGGGGGGGGGGGGGGCCCCCCCTTTTTTTTTTTGTTGG